AAGGATGGAAGACTGAGTCAACCTCAGGGATCGAACTCACAACCTTGTGGAGTTGTGAATAGGGTTTCAGTGTGAGGTTGTGAATGGGGTTTCAATTTCAATGGCATTGTGAATCTGCTCTAGATTTTAGTTTGAAATTTAAAGGAGCTATCTGCCCACAAAATAGGTTCTGTTTCTTGGATAGAAATAAAGTCCAAACAAGGATAAAAGTCCAAAAGACATGGAAGCCATCCTTTGCCACTAGAGCTTGCAGTGTAAAACAAGATGGGTGGGGAAGAGAGGGCACTATACTGGTCCATGATGATGATGATAAAAAATAGGGGAAGATACCTTATTATAAAGGTACAGGTTGGGAAGATGAGATTAAAGAATTCAGTCACAGGCTTCTCAGAAAAGATAGGTTTTGAGAAAGGATCCAAAGAAAGAGAGAGAAGCCATGCTTCCTATGTGTTTCATATTCCAGGAGGGAGCATTTTATTATATGCTTTATTAGCAGAGATTTATTTAACATTGAAATAAACCCACTGACTTTCAGTAAAGTACAGAAGAGGATCATATATATTTTTCTAAGTCTGAGAAAAATCTCATTCACCAGGAACTCATACATAATGAAACAGAATAAATCACAAGAGATTAAGTTGTCTTTAGTTTATAATAGGTGTGCCCTTTCCCAGAGGAATGGCAGATGCCGCAGAATCCAGTCAGATCAAAATGTTCAAATGGATTTCTGCAATGGAGCATCATATTCACTATTCATGGCTTTTATCAAATTATTTAATTAGTCATTAAAATTAATGCAAATTCTCTGCAAATTTGCATGCACAGAGCTGTATAATTTAAAACAGCCTAAAAAAATAAGACTAGTGAAGATTGCTAGTCAGTCTCTTGCAGGACACTAGAAATGTTACTTTGGGGTACTGCAGTTCCCCAAATCCCTAATCAGCATGGCTAGTGGTGGATTCTGGGAGTTGTCATACAAAAGGACATTGCTGCACTGACGTAACTAAGCAAGAAAGGTTTGGTTTTCTCCCTTTCTGAGCTGCAGAAAACTGATGGTCTTTGAAGCTTCAAAAGTAGGAAAGTTATATTAAGCATAGTATTATGTTTAACAACAAAGACCTGGCAAGCCTTTATGGGAAGGATGGGACACATGTGGCCCACCAGATACTGCAACTCTCAGTAGCCCTAGTAAGCATAGCCAATGATGTCGAAAGCTGGCAGCTGCAGTGCAACACTATGTGATTCCTACCCCTGATGTACTCTTATACCACAGACTAGAATAATTAATATCTAGCTAAGGTTTTTTTTAATCTGACTGATAATGTATTTGATATAGTATTTTATATAACATAATAATGTTATTTATATCTACAGGTAGTCTTCTGTATACAAGGATTCCTTATCCATGGATTCAACCATCCATGGCTTGAAAATGTTTTTTAAAAATATATACATTCCAAAGAGCAAGCCTTGATTTTGCCATTTTATATAATGGGCATCATTTTATTATGCCATTGAATTTAATGGGACTTGAGCATCCATGGATCTTGGTATCCACGGAGTGTGCTGGAACCAAACCCCAGCGGATACCACAGGCTGACTGTATTTAAGGGGTTATTCAGACTTTGTTTTTAACGCAGCTATGCAAATAATCTCAATCACACATTCTGGTTTTGTTGTTCACACTATTTTTTTTTTAATCAGAACTGCATCTCTGCAAGTTCTGTTGCTCACACATGTCAGCAGTCGAATCAAGATGGAGTTGATGATGTGGATGTATTCGAAACACATTCAAGGCATTTTTATCCCGGTTTATCCTGGGTCTATTCACATCTGACAATGCAAATCTTTTAGGAAAACTCAGGACAAAAACTCCAAGATCAATTATCCTGGGTTGCGGGGGTTTTTTTTTTGCATCCCTCCTCAAAGAAAAACTTAATCAGATGCGTTTGAAATCCATGTGAACAACAAAGATTCAACCCGCATTCTAATGGGATTATTTTCACCTGAATAACCCCACTGTCCCCCTTTTCTATATTTTAAAAGCTTTTTAATTGATTGTATACTGCCCTTCACTTGCTGGTCTATGGCTATAATAAAGATCTTTTAATTTTGGCCCTGATGTACTGGTTGATATGTTTAAGGAAAATATGGTAAACCGTTTTATGGGTAGGCTGGAAATCACACAGTCCTCCAGATGTTGTTGACTGCAAGTCTCATCAGCTCTCATCAGTACTGTATATCCAATAGTGAGGGATCCTGGGATGTGAAGTTTAACAAAATTTGGAGAATGGCATGACTCCCCATCTCCATCCTTGGGGTATAAAGTAGGTGTGGAGGAGTGAGTTAAAAAGTGCTGAGTGCTGCTATGTTGAGGAAAGTTAGGATTTGAAGCTGGGGAGATAGATGGGATAGGCATTTTAGTGACAGTGGAGTTTCAGGAGAGGATATTGTAGGCAGGAAAGGGTTTAGAATTACATCTAAGGAGCTTTGTGAAGCACAAATAATGGTAACTGAAACCACAAGCTTTGTTGCTTTGAAACACCTTCTTTATTACTACATGTTCTTCAATAAATATTTGATGGTCAGACGCTGCCTAATAGTTTTATAGGGTTTTTTTTAAAATGAAGCATAAAGAAAGAAATAAGAGCCAGCTTGGCGTAATATTTTGAGTGCTGGACAATGGCTCTGGAGACCACCAGGGTTTGATTCCCAGCTCAACCATGAAACCCACTGAGTGACCTGGGCAAGTCACATGCTCTCAGCCTCAGGGGAAGGCAACAGCAAATCTCCTCTGAACAAATCTTGCCAAGAAAACCCCATGATAAGTTCACCTTAGTGTTGCCGTAAGTCAGAAATGACTTGAAGGCACACAAGAAGAAGAAGGAAGAAATATTTGTAAGTTGGTTGCAACAGAGCACTTGAAAGCAGGGAGATCGCTGGGAGGAAAAATGAGACCCAGAGCTGGAAAAACCTACAAGGCACATAAGAACCTCAAGGAGGGTAGTCTGTTCAGTGTATATTGAACTGGGCAAAGCCGAGTGCAAGTACCAGGAGAAAGGCAAAGTTCTCAGAACTGATATTGTGCAAGTCTGAAAAGTGTGGGGATAATAATAATAATAATAATAATAATAATAGTAATCTTTATTCTTATATCTTGCCTTTTGCCAAGGCAATCAGGGTGGCATCATGTATTCTCTCTCAAGAGTAAGCTTGGGTAGTGATGTTATGAGAGAGAACAATAATCAAAGCAATTGAAAAAGCTCACACATTGAAAAAGGATGTTGAGAAGCTGGAGCGTGTCCAGAGGAGGGCGACCAAAATAGTGAAGGGTCTGGAAACCATGCCCTATGAGGAATGACTTAGGGAACTGGGTATCTTTAGCCTGGGGAAGGTTAAGAGATGATATGATAGCCCTGTTTAAATATTTGAAGGGATGTCATCATTGAGGATGGAGCAAGCTTGTTTCCTGCTGCTCCAGAGAATAGGACATGGAGCAATGGATGCAAACCACAGGAAAAGAGATTCCACCTAAAAATTAGGATGAACCTCCTGACAGTAAGAGGTGTTCGACAGTGGAATACACTGCCTTGGAGTATGGTGGAGTCTCCTTCTTTGGGGGTCTTTCAACAGAGGCTGGATGACCATCTGTTGGGAGTGCTTTGATTGTGAGTTC